GAATTAATGTGGCAGTAGTAATAAGTCTTTCTAGCGGTACTCTGTGAGGCCTTATTTAATGTCTCTTTTAATGATTGCATATTAAAACATGAATAAAAATCATTAGCATATAAGAAATTGAAATAAAGAGTAAATCTTCAGGTAAATATAAACCGTGTGAACTACACAACAGGTCCATTATGTAAGTGATTTGAATAAGAAAGCAGCAAAGTTCAATTGGGATTTTGTAAGAAAACCAGGGGAAAAATTGATAACAGCTTAATTGGAGGGGACAATCCATATGTGCTTGTAAAATGCAACGTAAAAAAATCCCTTATGATCACATTTCCCTTACATATGAAGACTGAAAGTAATGTTTCCATGAACCTATCCCACATTAAAAGTTGATTTAGGAGGTTTTAATGGAGCAGCTTTCATTCTCAGGCCCTTTGTGAGCTCTGCCATTGTGAAATGTGCTGTAACAGGGCTGATTCAGTTCCAGCCCTTCCCTTCTGAGTTGTATCCAGTTACCTCAGCTTGAACATAACCAAGAGAAGGATTCCACAGGTGACTGCCATGCACATGACAGCATAAATTACTTCTCCTAGAAACAAAGGTTTAAAAAAAATTACTGGATTTCTAGAGAGAATAAATAATAAAAAGAGTACAAAGGTTTGATTTTTAACTGACCGTTGAAGGAGGAATGAAATTCACTTAGAGTTATTTCCTTTGCATGTTTTCTTTTATGCAATGAAATGCCTTTCACATTAGAAAGAGTTGGATAATCTGAAAGAAAATAATGAACATGAGATTAAAGTATTTAAAGGTGATGCATTATTTTTATCCCATGGATTTTAATTTATTTTATAAAGGCAGCAATTTATTTCTTTTATACTATCTTAATAAAATATAAATTTAGGTGAAAGTGGGACTTTTCTTAAATTTTAACAGTGTTTTTTTACCTTTTAATCAGATAATTTCCTTATAGAAACTTGTTTTAAAAATATGATTAGAAAAAGTTACATTTTATAAAATAGTTCATTGTACCTCATATAAAGATTAGGAGGGAAAAAGTAACTTTAGGCTACCCTTTGGCATATTGAAAATGATTTGTTCTTTACAAGAGTGATTGTTTTAATGTGCTTTAAATGATATCTTAGTTTTCTAAGACTCACTGTATCAATGAATTCTTACAAAAGAGAGTCCTTAAACCAATCACTCTGTTCTCCCCTCTGCTCAGATTTCTATATCTGTCTTTGCTTATTTTTCCTATTCTGTTTCTCTTTTTCAACACCTTCAATTTCTATTATTTTTACCTATTTTTATCTCACTTGAGAGCCCTTCTTGGCCACTCTGTGTCCCTAGTCTTCATGGCCATTTTCATCTCACTTCACAAAACATAAGACAAAAGGAAGCAATCTTTAAAATTGATAGATCTATTTTAGGTGACTTTTACTAATAACTTTGAAGTGAAATCACACTGAGTTTTGATGCAACACAAATATGAATACCAAACATATCAATAGCCCAATAACCAATTTCTCTGCTGCTGATGATTCAGGTGAGTTTTCAGGCTTAAAAAAGAAAAAGCTATGTAGTCTCCATTTGAGGGAGGCCTTGCTGTCTGTCATAGATGGTTCATGTATTTTGAGACCTGGAAATCCAAGTATAAGTAGATAGTTCTTTGCAGAAATGAGTGTATCAAGTAGCAGGATAGCATATCTGATGACAACTACTGACAATAGCCCCAAACAGGAAGGGAGATGAGAAGATATATTGCCAACAGTTCCATTTAGTCCCCCCTCCACCCAGGGCTGCTGCTATTCAGAAGCCAGTGACTTGGAAGCCAAGGTTTGAAGTGTATGTTAGGAATAATTGGAAGAAAGCAAGGGGTACAGATGGTTTAAGATCAGTAACAAAACTCTCAGGGTGGGTCTGGGAGAAGCAGCTCAGTATAAGAGCTGAAAAAGCTACCGAGGATTTTGTCAATAGAAAACCTATTCTTGGATCTGAAGGATCTGAACTCTGATACAGTTAAAGCATTTTCATTTTGAGATTTTTTTAATCCCAATTGACATATTGGGTTATCATATAGTATTTATAGAAGTCTGACCTTAGAAACTGAAAAATCAACCTCTTCTGAATGTAAAAAAGTAATAGAGGTAGAGCTTGTGAAAACTTTTCACTTTTAACAGGACAAACAAACGAAGACTCATGGACATGGACAATGGACTAGTGGTTACCAGAGGGTAGTGGTGAAGGAGAAGGGGAGAGATAGACGGAGTAAAGGGGGTCAAATATGCGGTGACTGTTAAAGTGTACAGCTGAAACTTACTGGATTTTGTTAACCAATGTCACCATAAAAAATAAGTTAATGAATTAATTTTAAAAAACCTTTTCATTTTTGTGGTTATAAAATAAATTTCGTTATTCACTAAAATGTTAAAATGGAAAAATTGAACTATTTCAGATAATACCATATTTTTATAATAATGGTCTTTTGGGAAGAATTAATTTTATTCAAATTGAGCATATTTTTAGTGAAATAAATGATTATAACAAAATATTATATTTAAATCAATTTGGAATATGAAAGATAAATCATTTTGCGTCTTTTTAATTCTATGGCATTTTGTGACATTTTTGGCAGATTTATGGCATAAATGTAAATGTACATAATGTACATTGATTACTCGAATGATGCTATAGTTTTCCTTTTTGAAATTCTATCTCTAAGTACATTTGGTCTAGCTAGGTATCATGATTTATCTTTACATAAGAAAAAAGATATTATTTTGACAAATTAGGCTATCTTTTAGCTATAAAACCACTGAAAGTAATTATTTAACAGTCACCTAGCAAAGTTTAAAAAGAATCATTTAATTCACTAAATTTCACTCACATGGAACTCATTAACAAGGTTATAATAGATCAATGACAGAAATGCTAGTTAATGATCCCACTGAAAATTTTAATGTGTTCAGCAATCACGCCACAATCTTAAATATTGCACCCTAGGAGGATACCCAACATCAGTTAGAGAGATTAATGTTACAGAGGGCTTCTTGGCTACTGAAGCCCATTGGAGATTCTTCCCTGCCTTTTATAAACAGAGAGGTTTACAGTGTTTTATAACCATGAAATTAAAGTCAGCAGAGTTAATAACCAACTTCAGTCCCACACCATCTGCTGTATTTATATATAAACACTGTCAGTGACTTGTTTATCTTAACTTGTTCCCTAGAGAAATTAAACACTATTATAAACTATATGGTAAAATCCCTGTACATTTGACGGGAAATCAAGATTAATTTCAGCCTTACATTAAGAAAAAATTTAAATAGTATTCTCCTCAGCTACAAAGATGTGATCATTTTTATTCTTTTCTTCCAAAATCCTTGTGCAGAGTGGCTGGTGGAGACCAAAACTCTACTTTGTATAATTTATATGAAATGGTAAATGAATTGTAAAAAATGTAATGGATCGGATATGAAATAATGATTTAAAAATAAATGTCAGAATACTTAAAATAGAAATTAAACATCACAAACTGCAAATTTGTAAATCCTCATTTAAAATTTCAGTTAAAACATAACCTTAGAAGAAACAGTTTGGAAAAGTGAATGTTTTCATAGACTGATTTAAAAATATATTGTGTAGCTGTTTTTTGAATTCTTAATGTATCACATGACTTTTAAAATTTTTTTTTCTTTTTTGCTTTCTTTTCATGGTTAAATAAAAGAGTGCCAATATTATAGCGATATTTTAGTGAGAATGAAATTCAGGAATGACCTTCTTGTGCACTCAAGGTTTGGTGCTATTTATCAGATGTAATATATTACATTTCTAATTTGGTCAATATTGTCTCACCTGAAGGTATACAAATTCCCAAATTGAAAATGAGTTTTGAATTATTTCACCTAGTGATCAAGAGTGAAATTTCATATATCATAGACTCTTTTGATCATTGTTTGAAAGTTCCCTCCTAAAATGGATCTAGGGAATGTTGCTGCTGGGAAGAAGGAAAAATATATAGGCATATTTAAATTTGAAAAAAATATATTACTAATATGGCAAATCAAGCTATACACATAAATAATGAGGTTATTTTACCACTGCTGCTAAAACTTATGTTTTGAATACTAAACTAACTAAATAATATGCTTCCTCTAAACAATTACACTGTGCATCAACAAAGCATTTTCATTTATTTAGTTTACAAACTTCAAAGAAGATAAAACCATGTCTTAGATTTATTTTCTAGTACTATGGCTAAACACATGGTGGTTGCCAGGGGCTGAGAGAAAGCGGAAATTGAGAGGTATTGGTCAAAGGGTACAAAGTTTCAAGATGATGTAAGATGAGTAAGTCCTAGAGATCTACTTACTATACAATGTAGTGCCTATCTTTAGCAACACTGTATTGAACACTTAAACATTTGCTAAAATGGTAGATCTCTTGTTAAGTGTTCTTAGCGCGCGCGCGCGCACACACACACACACACACACACACACAATAATAAAGAGGATAGAAGGAAACTTTTGGAGGTGATGAATCTTATGGTGAAGACTGTAGTAATGATTTCATGGTTTATACTTATCTTCGAACTCATCAAGCTGTATACATTAAATAGGTACAGCTTTCTGTATGTCAAAACAAAACAAAACAAAACAAAACACATAAATTGTAAAGTATATGCTCCAGAACATTTGTCATGATCTTCCGACATAAACCCAAAAGCTCAAGGTTAGTAATTGATTCTACAGACTATCCATGCCTTAAGATGGTTTGACTTAATGACTTTTTGACTTTACCAATAAGCAAAAGTAATATACATTCAGTATACATTCAGTAGAAACCATATCTTCAATTTTGAATTTTGATCTTTTCCCAGGCTAGCTATATGTGATATCATACTCATATGAGCTATACAGTGGCAGCAAAATGATTTTGCACAACTGTAGGATATTGCAAGTGTTCTGAGCATGTTTAAGGTGGGGCTAGGCTAAGCTACGATGTTCAGTAAATTAGGTGTATTAAATGCATTTTCAACTCATGATATTTACAATTTAAATGTTGGTACAGAACTCCATTGTAAGTCTAGGAGCATCTATTGACAAGCCTTGCAACTGCTCTTTGACCCTACGTCGAATGACAGTGTTGCTCACAAGTCTAGTAGATTTGCTTGGTGATTATAGTGAATCTCAACGGCACTAATAAAATTTCTCAAATGTTCTACATTTTCCTTAATAGTTTCTGCAAATAATAAAATAATCACTGAGGTAGCAATTGAAATAAAAATGATCCTATTTCTAATAACTAACACTAGATTAGATTAGTAAAGTACTATTGTTTTAGAAGGCAATAATTTTAAATGTTGAAATTTAAAAAAAGTTGTCAGCTATAACTTTGGGCTTATATAAAACAGATCAAAATATCAATTTAAATAGGAATATAATATTCCTGGTTAGAGTGTATATCTATAAACACACAAGTGTATATGTATAGTAGAATTATAAAATTGACGAAACTTCTTAGATTATCTAATTTAAACTTTCAATGCAATGATCAGTTCTGCCTCATTCTTGACATATAGTCATCACCAGTCTAGAAATGAGCCATTTAATACCTTCTACCTTTCTACTATGATTGATGGTCAATTCTAGTTAAAATGGAAAATAATTTTTCTAGATTGCTCTTGTATTAACTCAAAATGATAAATCTACTTTCTTTGTTTGGCATCACTGCTTAGCTCTCTGACTGCTACATGTAATGTAAGTATGTGT